GTGGCCTCGTTTTTGGGGGCGGATTGGACCTTGGGACCAGGATGGAACTGGACTGGTGTTTTATTGTAAGTGTTTAACCTACTTTCTGTGTCATGTCACTTATAGTGCCCAGATACCTACTCTCCCAGCCGCTTCTTCGGATATTCACGAAATCACCAATATCAACGATCCAATCAGTCCTGCATGTTCTCTTCCTCCCAACGCCTTTCAAGGTCTTGGCGCAGACTACCTTTACATCCACCGGTCCAAGTGTCAACAATTCTGACAAAAAGAACGCCGCCGTCGACGCCTCCAATCTCGACATGCCAGAAGAAGTCCTCCGGCCCGGAGCCCTCTACACCGAATGTGCAGTCGTCAAACTCAACGTAAAGTTGGCGCAAGAAGTCATCGACGCCGAAGCCGCTGCATCCTTATCCAGGGCCAAAGGCAAAGGGAAGAAATCTTCGGAGCAGGAGAAAGATATGGATCTTCCGGACGACGGCGAGTACGGAGGGGAGTTGGCTGGGAGGCTGGTATGGGAGGAATTTGAGCGCGGGTTGAAGGTTTGGGAGGAGGAGAACCCGGCGCCGCCGCCGAAACCTGCTGGTGTTCCGAGTGCGACGGCGGGCGTGGATGGGGTGAAGGGGGGAGGAGGTGATAGCAAGGAGGCTAGAGCGAGGGAGAAGGAGAGGGAAAGAGAGAAGGATGGTGCAGAGGTTTATTGAGCAGCTGTATGTTGCGTTCTTTTCTATATATTTTTGCCGCTTTTTGTGGAGAATAGGAAGGGTGTACTCATCGTCGTTTATTTTAATAGAGCAAACGGACAGACGCTATCTATTGTTTTATCACTCATACTTACTACAGCACACACTCGTCCCCGAGGGAGACAGACCATTACTAGAGATGCTATTAATAGACAACATGCTCTGCCAATCAACCCCTAAGAGTTTGTTACCAAACATATTTATGATCATGATGTCTACGAGCTCTTGCCACAAATACTGCTATAAGCTCTACCATCGTACTGACGGTATACAAACCCACAGTCATGTTGTCGCGTGTAAATAAGGCTTGAATTCAAGCTTTTGGCAGCCTGGTCCTACATGTCATTAGCTGTAGAATTCAATAAGGACAAATACTGTTAGTAGAATTTTGGTCGCGTCCTCAATACTTGGACTGTTCATTATCAGAAGACTTTAGTCTTTGTGCTAATACGAACTCTTGTACGAGGTTCTAGCTCTTCAGGATGCATTTCCCAGCCTCTGCTCTGCCTCCTACCTTGCTGGACCTGACAATGTTGCGGATAGCCAGCACCTCGTCTGCTCGAATTCCAGGTGTAATGGGTACTTCAATTCGCTGGAAAAGGCCATCTGCCCTTCGGAGGATGCATCAGGCAGCCCCATTGACACCAGCAGATCCGGGCTATGATCAATTGATGGAAGCCAGTTCATTGAATGCTCAATCTCGTGGATGGTGAGCACTCTTTCCATGTTATGGCTGAAAAGGTCTAATGTTCTGCAAGGCGTAAGCATCGTGGAAGTGCTAGCGGGAGCCTATCTGTGAGGTCCGATGCTGTTGAGCCGAGCAAAACGCTGGATTCCTTTCAAGAGCTCGAGCGTCGAGTTCAGGCCTTGGACGATACTATTGGCGCTGAGGTTGGTGCATCAGTTTGTCATGGTAATCCTGAAATTGAATATATTTCCAACAGGAATTGGCGCAGGACGGTCCTTTCTACAGCGAAGGGGAGCTTACGTCGATGTACCAGGACGTTCTTGCTATCCCAATACCTGAGTCCGAGCCGACCAACCAAGCCGAGATAGAAGCTCTCAAACAAGCAGAAGCGGAGGAGGATTTAGATATCCTACAAATCCTCGAGGAGCGGCTGTGTAACCCGACAATTGAAATGGATTCTGGAGGCCTGAAGCTTGACTCTGCAGCTCGCCGTATCCTAGTCCGAGCACACGAGGTAGTATCCCGAGTGGAAGCCACGAGAAACGTTGTCAATCCGGACGCGTCGTTGAACCCGCAGAACTTTCTTCCAATCAGCGTCTTGACAATAAGAGAGTGTCAAGCACTGGTTCGAGTCAGCGTGAGTTTACTTCTGTTTTTCATCTATCTCCTGAAAACTGAAGAGTGTTTAGATGAAAACAAAAGATGCGAAAGCGGCTGAATTGGCATTGGATATCATGAAGGTATGTATACGTCTCGTTTGGTATGTCCATGAATTATTTAATTAGAATTTACTTTGCAGAGAACTGGCCTCCCGATACCTGACGGAGCCGTGACGGAAATCTTGAAACTCTATGCAACTTCCGGAAATCTAGCAGCAGCAGACAACCTTCTGGCAAATTTTTTAACGGGTTCGTGTCCTCCTTCTGTTTCTCTATCCTTGAGCTTACACGAACTCTGTAGAAGCACCAACAGAGACCCAGCGACATCTCCATGTCCAGGCCCACCTCAATGGAACCCCACTCAGCACACTCCCAACATCCGCCTTGGACGTTCTCCACCACTACGAAGGCCAAAACCTACCAGCACCAATGCACACCTACACCACCGTCATCACCTCCCTCTTCTCCCGCTCATCTTCCTTAGCTCGTGCACACGCATGGGACATCTTTACCCACATGCGATATGCTGCACATCCTAACCCGGATATCCTCCTCTATACCCTCATGATCCGTGCCTGTGCATCTCCCATTAGCACTCGATATTCCTCCGAACCAGAGAAAGCTCTCGATCTGTGGATGGAGATGACGGTAGACCATAAAATCATGCCCACAGTCGGGTCATATAACGCCATCATCTTGGCTTGCGCTCGGTCGGGTACGAAGACTTACGTCAACGAGGCCTTCAGACTGGCGAGGCAGATGCTGGACTCCCATCGCGATGCACAGGGGTTCTCGGCGTTCCGGCCCGATCGAAAGACGTTCTGCGCGTTGTTGGAGGGTTCGAAGAGAATTGGTGATTTGAGCCGTGCGAGGTGGATTTTGGCTGAGATGGTGAGAGGGACGGGTACAGCACTGGGCCATGCCGGTGTGGATGCGGAAATTGATGAGGAAGTGATGATGCATATGTTCCATACGTATGCGGCGTATCGACCTCCGTTCTTGCGCGCTGCGGCGGTGCTTGTGAAAGACCAGGGATCAACTGGGGTCGATAGCAGTACGGTTTCGCGAGACGAGTCTAAGGTTACCACGGCTACGGACGTATTGGCGCCTCATGATTCCAACTCAAACCCAGCGACTCGTCTCGTATCTACAATCGGAGAAGAGACACCTTCGTTCGCCCATATACCACCCCAAAGTCGAGCTGAAGTCATACGTGAAGTCAAGCTTCTCTTCAACCGTATCATCGAAGACCGCGGACTCTCCACTTCCGCCGCTACTGCTTCCCTTCCTTTCTCCGAACAGAGATTCAGAAGCGTCGAGCTAAGCACGCGACTTGTCAGCGCCTACCTCTCTGTGTTCTATAACCATGCCAGCTTGGAGACGTCCCGGGAGCTGTTCTGGAAGATTTTCGAAGACTTGGAGGTGGCTAGGAGTCCGAGAGTGTACCTGGAGGCATTGGAGAGATGTGGAAATGCGAGGAGGGGTCACGAGAGAGAGGTGGGCTTGCAGTTCGCGGAAGAGGTTTGGGTGAAATGGAGAGAGATGGAAGTGGCGGGGCAGCATTTGGATGAGGAGAGTCCAAAGAAAATCAATCCGAGAATGGTGGAGAGAGCTCATGTGGCTATGATTCGGGTATTGGCTATGTAAGTTCTGCCTTGCGCGTCAAAGTTGATTTCCGGTGATCGTGAGTCTTACCCATTATTGACTTCAGAACACAAAACACCGACCGAGCGATGGATCACCTCCGCTCCTTTGCGTCCCAATACCCCGCCAACGCCCTCCGTAACCCCCCTCCAAAACGTGCCTTCCAATCAACGCGCACTTCCCTCGTTGGTTCGCGCCCCTTGGTCCGGATGACCTCTTCCGCAGAGGTGCCAGACGACCATGTCCCCCCATTGTTGACGTTCCGTGATATTGAAGTCTTGCACCATCGCTTGATTGACGAGGAGCGGACGAAGGACATCGGATACGTGACTTGGGTTTGTAAGAGTTACGAGTGGGCGTTGAGGGTTAGGAGAGACAATGCTGTCAAGGCTAAGATTCCGAAGGTCGGTAGCAATAATGCGGTGGTGGAGGCCAGTGTGGTTGCGTAGGAGATGCTGGGTTGAATGCATGCTTACTGGTATACCCGCGGGTCTTGTTTTATTTAGATCTATTCATATACATACTTTATAATCCTTCCGTTTACATGCTGTGATCCAGCTGTATTTATTGCTACTCAATCGTAGTTAAAATTATATTATTCTCAACTCTCAACTTACCACTCTTGTTCCTCGCTCTTTGTTCGATTAACGGCTTTCAAAGTTCGGCTTCGGGTAATCAATAACTCTTCCTTGGGTTTGATGAGCTCTCAGTCGAGAACTAGACGCGCTAACAATGCACCTCTACAGCGGCACCACGGATTCGAGAGTCGGTGATATTGGTCAAAATACCCAAAAAATACTTATGTTTTTGACAAGGTTTTGACATGGCGGCAATGTGGAGAACTCGATTGGGTAATCCCGACAGACTCCCGACGCAAGAACGCTTCGGCGGCTCCACATAACAAGCATTAATGGGGTAGTGGTAACCTGGGTCGTTGCCAATCTGTTTCGACCCGCCGGGAGTTCGATTCTCTCTTAATGCATTCATTTTGCTACTCGATCCATGTGTGCAAATAAGAGGAGTGTGGCGTGTGGCCGGAGGTATCTGATCTGACTGTTGCAACTCTATGCAACCCCTCCTTTTGCTAACAAAAGTAGTCATGCCACTCGCACCTTGTATCTAGAGCAGAGGCACGGATTTGAGAGCGAACACGAGCCATCGTCAAAACATTTCATGTTTCGATGCTGTGGCAATGTGGAGGAACCTCGATTGGGTAATCCCGACAGACTCCCGACGCAAGAACGCTTCGGCGGCTCCACATAACAAGCATTAATGGGGTAGTGGTAACCTGGGTCGTTGCCATTCCGTTTCGACCCGCCGGGAGTTCGATTCTCTCTTAATGCATTCATTTTTGCTGCTTGATCCGTTGTTGCAAATCAGGGGAGTGTGGCGTGTGGCCAGAGGTGCCTGATCCGACGTGCTAACACCTCGTTTTCCTGAATGAGAATGAGACGGATGCACGCAGCCGGGAACATATCGTACTGCCACTCGCACCGGGTATGTTTTCTTTGTGTAAGGCTAGCCTCCATTGATCTTTGCGATTGGGTACTTTTTTATGTTGCATCAATTGGTACAAGAGACTACAAGGTTACCCTTGTATACTTGACATGGGAATGGTAACTTGTTGATCTTACTTCCTTCGTCCCCGTGTGCCCTCATTCCCGTCCGCATTGAAACGGTTTGAGCATCTTACAGTTTCGGCCGATAATCTTCCCATCCAAGTTGTTCATATGTCCACCCCCAGACTTGCTTATGGACAGGGTCCGCTTTATTGCAAAGTCGCTGACCACGATCCAATGTCCAGATCTTTCCGAGATCCTCTGGCGAAAGAGTTGGTATCTGATAATGGAAACTTTTAGTGAGCTGCATGATCGATATTTCAATTTCGCGTTCAGACTGACAGCGATGTTTTCTTTCTGCCTCTCGTTATTTTCGCTTTTTGGAACGATGATAGTGCCTCTAGAGATGTGCCAGGCGAAAATGATCTGGTTCGATGAAACCTTGTACTTTTCGGCCAAGCTCACTATTAGGGGATCACTACGGACGTTGGAGTAGCCTGGTGTGAAAATTAGCATAGTTCAGCGGAGAAATATCGCTACCATACCACTGGGTGAGTACGCAGTGATGACAATCCCTTTCTGGGCACAGTAGTCTCTCAGCTCGTTTTGGGCGAGGTAAGGATGCATCCTTATAATGGGAACCGTTAAGCGAAGACGAAATATGCCTTGTGTAGAGCACTCACTCCACTTGGTTGACCGCAGGGGTGATTTTAGCCGTCTTGAAGAGCTGCTCGAGCCTACAACATCTTTGTTAGATATTTGAGGTTCTTTCCTGTAGCAGAACCTCGTACGTTTTGATGGAGAAGTTACTGACACCGATGGCCCTGACCTTGCCCGTGTCGAGAAGCTTCTCAATTTCAGCCCAGGTATCATTGAAGGTGGTACTGTCGGTAGTTTTGTAGGTCCCATCTGGATTCTTAGGAAGGTCATTTCCCTCTATAGATCCCGTCAGTGTTTTCGAATACAGAACAATAAAAAATTGGCATGTATATACCTTCGAAGGCAATGGCTTGAGGCCAGTGTAACAAGTACTACAATGTAAGAATCTTCAGGACAGGCGAAGGGACCAAAATATAATTCACCTACGAGGTCTATGTGACCGACGTTCAAATTTTTTAGACTTTGTTCGAACGACTCTCGGACTCGGTGGTTGTGATTCCAACTTACAGGATGAATAAACATGCGTGTTGCAATAGCGCCGTTGTGATATTGTCAACAGACTCACGGAAGCTTGGTTGTCACGAAAATCTCCTCCCGTGGAATCCCAGAAGCCCTGATGGCTTCGCCGACAGCTTTCTCAGTTCCTGTATATGGCCGAGGTCAATACTCCACCGTCGCACCGATAGATTGTCACATGCCATAGCCCTGCGCAGTGTCAATATGACGGAATCCATTCTACAAAAAAGGGTATCAGACGCCCTTTCGTTTTGCAACAATAGTAAACTCGGGAACCCACCTTGAGAGCAGAGAGAATCCAATCTTTGACCTTTGCCTGAGCTTCTGGCTTAGCGGGTGCCCATGAGCCTGAGCCTAGCAAAGACACCGTACTTGAGCACGATATTATGCACGAAATAATGAGACACTCACCTATGATTGGAACGGAAACGCCGTTGTTCAGCTGAATCGTTTGCTTTGCAGACATGGTCGATGGCGCGAAGGGATGTGGATCTAGGGAGATAAGAAGCTATAAGTGACATATAAACCAATGGACCGTCTTACTCACCCTCCTCGGCTTCTGCCATCGTCCGGGCTATATTTACTTATGTAGCCTGCCCATAATTCTTCGCAATTCCTGACAATTGCGCTCGATTGCGTTGTGCGCTTCGGGTAGATCAATCAGCGCCATGCTTCTCCGAGAGTTTCTCCGCGGTTCCTAGCCTGCATAGCATTTGAGTGATCGACACATTGAAGATCACCTGAATGTACCATACATTCCAAATAACGCGAGATTAGTTCAAGGCTTTCCAGAATTCCTGCGGAGAGGTATCCTAACGTCGACAAGAAATATTGGGCACACTTGGATCCTCGGGATATGGTCAACATGGGTCAAAATGTCACCTAAGTCGCTCTTGAGAATCAGGTCAAATTGAGTCCGATGATGCGTAGGCGTGTGCGTGGTCGGAACATGGGCCGGTGTGGCGGACCAGAATTCACACCCCTAACACTTGGGTCGCACAGGCCTATGTAGACTTGCTTGTGTGGCGCAATGAGTTGCCTCCGATCCTACCTCCATAATAAGCGCACGTTCTCACTCCGCCCACTACGACGATAGCTTATTCTATCTCTACGCTTGATAAACACAAACATTATCCTTACTGTGACCTTTCTTAGATAGTGAACAAACACTCTTAGCCAGGCTAATCCCTTGTTGTGCCGACACTGCTGAGTTGTAGATTACTGGCGAATTGGCTTATATTAAGAGTAGTAGCTGTTGTTATTAGCTTCACTACTATTATGAGGCACCGCCTCCAATTTGGTACTCTAATATTTGTCGCCCTCATTTTGAGCTCTGCCTTGGACACGATGACTTTCATCTCAGATGAGCCAGCACTGACAAGCTTATGTGGCCTTCCGCTTCGCGTGAGGCACTTGACAATCTAGCGAAGCTGAGGACAAATCACCTTAGTTGTGGCGCGTATGCTATAGCGCAGGAAAGTTGGAAATTGACTATGTAATATAACGAGAGCTATACCTAATGTTGCAGGTGCACTTTTGGCGAGCCCATCGTTCAGTCCCATTACATAGCTGAAACCCTTTGGAAGAGCTGAATCACGCCGTTAGAATGTGAGGTGTCACAAGGATTTGGATAATGTTCTTATCGAGGCGTGCTGCTCCTGCCATGAAACAAGAAATTGCATGATAGATATTCGTAATTCTCGACAAGACAGTATATACGATGACAGAATATCGGGTATCTCGTAAGGTCAATGCCTACCAATTCAAGGGACCGGCCGAAATAAATACCCTTTTCTGATCTTCCCAGTATTTGCAACTCTTGACTCGGTATGGGATATGCGCCGAGCTTCGGGTTAAAAAGGGGTATTGGATGAGGGGAGAAAAACGTTGGAAAAGCATGGAAGTCGGTGGCATTTTGACAACCTAGATACTTGAATTTTTTTGTCAAGCGCTTCCAGGAATCTAAAAGCATCATCAGATCGCATCAGGAAGGTATTGGACGTTCTAATATTGCAAGAAAATATGATGCAAGGTTTGCGAGTTAAGTGAGAAAGGTCGACAAGAGTGGACGCTGGTGGTCGATGAAAAAAAATTATATAGGTCCTGTTTAGGGCCGGTTCCCCCGTGAAAAGGTTTAAACCGCAAATTCTAAGCAAAATCAGTTCCCTCAGGCTCCTACTAGTTTTTGAATGAACAAAAGAATAGCTCCTCATGATCGCAAGATATCCTTCATACGCAGCGATTACCTATAAAAATAGAGACTAGAGTTGCGTGTCGCGATTGACGCCGTCAACCCTTTCTTATCGGGCCGAAACAAGAAACGCGTGTTCTTGCCACAGTCAAAATATTCAGGGGCGTCAAAGAGGCTCGGCCTTTTTATTACATATTAGGGCGCACGCTGCGAGCCACGTCTTCCCTTGGTCTTTCTTATACTCTTTGCTCGACGATTAGCATCGAAATGCCGTCGTCTGAAGGTTTCTTGCGCCAACGCAAGGCTCCTACCGCCGCAGCTCCTGATTTGATTGAGTTGGAATCACCAGAGAATGCTGTTGAGAAGCCTCAGGAAGAAGTGGTTTGGGGCAAAACTCCAGGAGGAGAAGGTGCGAGTTAACTTGCTGGTTCACGCGAACGACTCCTCATTTTTGTTTTACCTATACCAGTCTTCCGTGTGCCAACAACGCACGACGTTCTGACAACGCTATTTCATCCGGGTTACCAAAAAAGTCATCTCGATTTGCTAAACCTGGCCTTACTCGGTCTCCAAATCGTGCTTTACTTCACATTGTCGCGTCAAGCAGCGCAGGTCTTCTTCCTGTTCTATTTTGCCTTTTGGCGCGCGGCGTATGACGCTGGCCTTGGATGGGTGCTTACCAAGCAGAGCAAAAAGAAGTGGATTGTGAGGGTTGTTCAAAGTCTGGGATGGTTGGATGATAAACGAAGACCGGGTGTGAGGAATTGGATCCGTAAACAGCTCGCGGATAAGATGGGGAAAGATTACTCGTTCGATGTGAGTTGGTTGATTTTTTTTGCAAAATCACAGTGAACCGACATGGCGTGCTTTCCAGGATCTACCGTTGGAATACAACACTTGGCTGTTATTCCGTCAAGCTGTCGATGTCATTCTTGTCAAGTAAGTCTTTGCGGTGTCAAGTTGTCAAATTGCTCAACTCCTAACTATCCTTCCAAGTGATTTTCTGGCGTACTGCATGTTCGCCTTCACATGTTTCCGAGTACCTGAGAATCTTTCCATTGCAGTCCACATCATGAGGTACTTCCATCGCACACTGTCCGTGAAGGAAGGAGAAAAGTAACAACGGCTGATTGACAGGTGGCTTGGCGGTATTGCACTTATCGGGTTCAATCTTTGGGTCAAGACCGAAGCACACAATGTGGTCAAGGACTATGGATGGTACTGGGGCGATGTTTTTTTCCAACGGGGTAATCTAGTCTTCGATGGTGTTTTTGAATTGGCTCCACATCCGATGTACTCTGTTGGTGAGCTAATTTGTCATATATTCAACGAGCAAAGCTAGATGCTCATCGCGAGGAAGGTTACGCTGGGTACTATGGCCTCTCCCTTATCTCAGGAAGCTATGCCGTACTTTTCGT